CTTTAAGTCCTGTCTAAGGTAGAAAAGGGACACCTTCATTGCACTCCAAGCATGCCTGGGTAGAGCAGGGTGGTTTTGTCCCTGCATAAAATAGTCAAGGCATAAACGGGAACAAAAGCAACAGGGAAATATGTGTCCTTCTCAAGGTAGACCAATGTTTCCTACTACTACTTTCTCAGGGACTGGATAAAAAAAGAGATATGCAGGCACCCCACAAAAGCACAAAGGGCTTTGGTACATGTAAAACATGATTTTAAGAGCCAGTACATCAAATAGTGTCACAAACATGATTTCCAAAGGCATTTCTCATTTAACATTTGCCTGTAGGGCTTTTTTTTTTGGCAGCTGGCTGGTACAGAGATCCAAATCCTTGACCTTGGTATTAGCACCATGCTCTACCAGTGAGCTAACTGGCCAGTCCACGAAGGGCATTTTATGCAAGGTTATAAAAGCTTATGATACCAATAATTTTCTCATTTAACATTTGCCTGTAGGGCTTTTTTTTTTTGGCAGCTGGCTGGTACAGAGATCCAAATCCTTGACCTTGGTATTAGCACCATGCTCTACCAGTGAGGTAACTGGCCAGTCCACGAAGGGCATTTTATGCAAGGTTATAAAAGCTTATGATACCAATAATTTCAGAATATCTATTATACTGATATTTTCTCACATCATAAATATCTGACTCAATCACAATTTTTCAAGCCTTTTTGACAGACATGGTTAAAATCTGATGTTAAAAAAATTTTTTAATGGATTTTTTAAGCATTCTACTACAAAAATATTTCATTCAGCAATAAAGCACTAACAACATTTTATGTAAAATATAGCTTGTAATCAAGTAATTCAAATAATTATTTAATTTGGTTAAATAAAGCAATTAAGCAATTTGGTTTAAAACACAAAAATCTGTATTAAATTATAGTTATGTAACCTGAATTATATTTATATACAAATTACATATACAGTCATGCACTATATAACAATGTTTTGGACAACTACAAACTGCATATAAGATGTTGGTCCCCTAAGATTATAATGCCATATTTTTACTTTTTCTTTTCCATATTTAGATTCACAAATTCTAGACATTGTGTTGCAGTTGTCTCCAGTATTCAGTACAGTAACATGCTGTACAGGTTTGTAGCCTCGAAGCCATAGGCTATTCCATACAACCTAGGCATGTTGTACCCTATATCATCTAGGTTTGTGTAATAAGTACACTGAATGATGTTCTCACAATGAACAAATTGCCTATCCCTGTCGTTAAAAAATGCATGATCAAATTTATATTTATCCATACATGAGGGTATTTCAAAAAATTCATGAAAAAATGGAATTAAAAGTTAATGCTGATTTTTCCATGAACTTTTTGAAATACTCTCATATGCACAGATATAATAACTTGAATAAATTAATTAATTTTTACTTATGAAGCCTAAATCATATATATGTGATGTTTTGAAGTACATATATATGTATATACATACACGCACATATATATCCACATATGTCTGATTATGTACATATAAGAGTACATCAAGAAGTTTGTGGAAAAATAG